AACAATGCACGCACTATGCTCTCTTTCCACTCTCCCCTTCCCTGCCAATGCCAACCCTTGGCTGAACCCAGACAGAAATTGAGATGCTAAGGAAGCGTGCAGAAGCAGTCCAAAAGTTGTCAAAGAGGCATCTTTCTGGAGTATAGGACAGGTCATTGGAGACTGAATACAGACACGGGAAGAAAGTGAGTCGGGTAGTTCCAGAATTCCAGCCTTTCACGTAAGCATATTTTAAAGTCCACCAGTTAGGAACAACAAGCCCATTGACTTGATTCCATTCTTAAAGACCTTAGAAAAGTTCTCTTTCACACGAAGACATAATGCATTTGAGCAGTTTTATAAACTATGACTTCTAACCGGAAGATTTATGGTTACAAGAGGGAAAGTAATACATGAGACATAAGGTAACACAGAGGGAGTTTCCCCAGGATGTTTTATGGGCTTTTTTCACCTTATGATGAGTCAGAGCACCATTCTGTGAATTATCAAGGTTCAGCTTAATATTTGTGGGAAGAGTGGCGATGATTCTGAGTTTTTCCTCAAGGAAACCATAGAAAGGATTATTTCCAACATGTTCCCTTGTTGATTTATGCATGTTCTTCAACTTACTCCAAATAATGTGAAAAGGGGGATCATTTCTTGGTCTACACTTGGAAATAAGAAGGAAAGCCAGAATTGCCCATACCTCAGTAAAACTCCTAGAAGTAAAATAAGTATATTTAAATTATTTGCAATCCTCTACTCTTTCCCATGAGAAACTAACTTTTCCTACCTCCCAAACATATAGTTTTCATTTCTGTGAATTCAGTGACCTCCTCCTCTTCCCACCTATTAATGATTCCCATCAGATCACTCCTAGCATTAGATCCAAGCCTCCTGGACATCTCTTTGATGCTCCAAAGGTTCTTTAAACTCAATGAACTTAAAGTCTGTTTCATCCCCCTTTTACTGACCATCCATCAGTCACCCAATCTTTTACTCCACCTCTATTCCTTTTGACGCCTCCATCCCCTCCTAATAACCCAGGGTTGTTCATTCTGCTGACTTTTCCTAATAATGATAATAAGCATACTAATTTCTAGCATGTGTTGAGCACTTAGGATATATCAGACATGGTGCTATGCACTTTGTATGTGTGATCTTATGTAATCCTTATTACACTCTTCTGACAGCTATTACGTCTACCACCAGTAAAAGGTGCAGAAGCTCTACTTAAGGTTACAGAGCTAGCACATGGCAGGCTGAGAATTTAAATCTGGTTTGAAGCCTGTGCTCTGACCTACCTTCTCCAGCAGAGCAAATTCAACATTTCAAGGTTTAGCTTAATGCATTTGCCCTTTAATGAAGCTTTCCCAACCTCTCCTACCCTTTCTTCTCCTATGAGATCAGCATTTTCCACCCACATTTATTACAGTACACATTATTATTTATGCACTGGCCCATTGATTAGTTCCCTCATGAAATGTATTTTGAGAGAATACTCTATCAGACAGAGTGCTTGACACAGGTTATCAGCAGTAAGCAAGCCTGGACCTGGTCTCCTAGAGACCAGTGGGAGAGACTTTAAGCAAATAACCACACAAATACACCATAAAATCCCAGATGATAATTGCTATGGAGAAAACCTTCAGGTGCTGGTGATGTACCTGTCTCCAGGCGTCATCTGAGCACCGTTAGAGCCCAGTCGCTTTTATTTTCTCCAAGCTAACTAGTTCTCTGTATTAACATGCATTTGGAGCCGCATTAATGAATTACAGAAACTGTTTAGGTTAGAAATTAGATTTCTAAATGGCAAGTGAAATCAATCTCATAGAAATGGAATGGTAAAACTTCTTGGCCTCATGAGTTTCAGGAGTGAGAAGACAAATGTTAGGAATGAGAAAGACTGGATTTGTCCACAGGCAAGGTTGTCTCAACGTAAGTTTCTCAATTCAGGAATGTGCTTGTTCTATTTCATATAATAAGAATTTTGTGGAGTTCAGAACATAATGAAAAGCTCTATTCACTGAACTTTTGCCAAAAGATGTTGAGTGAGGGCCTGGAAAGATAAGCTGGCCCTTAAGAGTTCTTGTTCCTGCTTGCTGGTATAGCCTGTTGATCCTTTTTCCATCTGCAGAGTACAAAAAACTTACAAAAATCTATTTCAATGGAATATTCAAATATGATATAACATGTGTGATATACTAAAAAGTATATGCGTGCATACTCAATCGTCTCTGACTCTTTGTGACCCCACAGACTATAGCCCGCCAGGCTCCTCTATCCATGGAACTTTCCACGCAAGAATGCTGGAGTGGGTTGCCATTTCCTACTCCAAGCAATCTTCCCGACCCAGGGATCAAATCTGTCTCCTGCAATGGCAGGCAGATTCTTTACCACTGAGCCACCTGGAAATCCACTAAAAGTATTTCCTGGTATAAAATAGCTATAATATTTTGAAGCAATTTTAACCTTGGATGTTAAGTGCCTCTGAACTGACAGCAGAAACCACAATAAATCCTCAAAGAATGACATCTTGGATCAGGATATTATTAATATGACTTGACTCAGAAAGAATATTGAAATATAAATTTTAAGGGTTTCATCAATATATACAAAACACAATATAGACTCTAAGGAATATTATGAAGAGATTTTACATTGCTCGAACATGTTAGATACTAGCAGTAAACTTTTCTCTGTTTCTGTTGCCTTATGATGCAATTTCCTGCATTCAAGTACTTGAATTCACTACTCTTAAAATTATGACAAACTGTACCAATTTGGATTCTGTTGTTGGGAAATCTGAATTTTAAAAAATACAGTCAACCTAACAAATAACCATTGGTTAACCCCAAAGAATGACACTATTAATCTCATTTAGGGTGCCATACTGTAATCATGAATGTCACCGTTCCTTTGCTAGAGTAACCATGTCCGTGTTCCCTTTACTCATAAGATCCAGACAGGTATGGGCATGTAAATGAGGTAGTTAACGCTAATGTGAGAACTTGGAAGTTTAATGATGGAAATGCTATGTGAACACTGTGGGTGGTGGTGGTTTAGTCACTAAGTCATGTCTGACTCTTGAGACCTCATGGACTGTAGCCCCCCCAGCCTCTTCTATCCATGGGATTTCCCAGGAAAGAATTCTGGAGTGGGTTGCCATTTCCTTCTCCGTATAAAACACTGTACTAAGTAGTAAAAAAATCACTGCTTCAGAAATTATCTGAATTATCCCTAGAACTCTGTAGAGGACAGAACAGGGGGATTATTTACTCCTTCTGTTATAGATCATCTCTTCTATAATAGTAAAACAATAATAACCACCCCCCAAATCTGTACTAGCTTTATTTTTGAGTTGCTTAATAAATATAAAAAAATAAAAAAGTTTCACTTGGAGATTTTCATCTCTCACCTATTACCAAGACTTTTAACTGCTTCCTGATCAACAACATTGAGTTTGCATTTATTTCTGCTTCATTTATTGCCAAGGTTCCCAGTTCTGCTGCCTATTTGAGCCACTTGGTAAGGTTCAAAAATGTGGAAGATAGCTGTTAGGGAGGGCTTAGGGACTGAGCAACTGGTGACTGAAAGCTCCCCAGGAGATTCTAACACACAGTTGGGCAGTGAAGCAAGGGTTTGCTCCGCTGTTGTTGCTGTGTTTCCCTGCCTCAGTCTTGCCTTCTGATATCTTCCATAGGCTGCCAGAATGATCTTTCTGTAATGCCAGCAGACTTAAATTCAAGCCTGAGCACACGGTGAAAGACTCAACATGATCTACTATTAAACACCAGACCTGCTGCCCATTCTTAAAGTTATTCTCTTTCCACTAGCTTTGTACCAAGCACTTCCTTTCAGCATGCCTGCCCCAGCCTCTGGACCTGGCACCGACTCCTCCCTTGCTCTGAAACGCTTTCCCCTGTGTATCCGCCTGGAGAACTGCATCTTCTCCAGGAAGCCTTTCCTGACACGCCAGACCCCCTCCTCTGTCAGTGTTCTCAAAGCACAGGTCTACTGGGCTTCACGTTTTTGTTTGATGACTACTCATATTTCTTTTAAGTTTTCATTGGAGGAGAGTTGCATTAGTTTCTACCATCTAGCAAAGGGAATCGGCTGTACATATACATATATCCCCTCATTTTTTGGATTTCCTTCCCATTTACGTCATCACAGAGCACTGAATAAACGTCCCTGTGCTACACAGTAGGTTTGCATCAGTCACCTATTTGATACATAGCATCAGCAGTGCATATACGCTAATCCCAACCTCCCAGCGCATCCCACCCCTGCCTTTCCCCCTTATGATCTCTCACACTGCACCATCATCTTAGAACACATGACCCTCTCACCTTCATTAGACATCTTGTGAGCAAGGACTATGTCACATTTGCCACTGAATCCCCCAAACTTAGCACACTGCCCAGCATATACTGGCTTTTTGTATTTGCTGAATAAAGGAATAAATAGCATATTACACTACTTTACTTATTACAGAATCTGAGTCACATTGGGTCCACTGAAAAAAAACCTCAGATGGTAGGTAGCATCTGCCTACATTGTGGGAGACCTGGGTTTGATCCCTGGGTCTGGAAGATTTCCTGGAGAAGGGAATGGCAACCCACCCCAGTATTCTTGCCTGGAAAATTCCATGAATAGAGGAGCCTGGTAGGCTACAGTCCATGGAGTCGCAAAGAGTCGGACACGACTGAGCAACTAAGACACATTTATTTAATATTTAGAAATAGCAGTGATAATTACTTTAAAAATTAGTCTTTTTATTTGGCTATGAGTGGATTTTAAACAGGGTAAAGCCAAAGGAGAACTTTAAGTAAATCCTCAAGAGTACCCTCCTATTAGCAGCATCCCCAAACCGCACAGTTTCAGAATTACAGCCGTTGTATACTCACCTTGGACTCTGATAGGGGAAGGAAGCCCACTTAATGCCTACCACAAGTTGGCCTAACTAGGCTGCTCTCATTATGTGACATTTAACCCACAACTCTGGGGAACATGCTTACTTTGTATTTGCTTTCTGATCTGGAAGGGGTGGGAATATGTCCTTTTTTCTTGAAGGTTGTAAAGTGCTTGCACTGCGGACATGGCTTGGTGCTGGCATCAATACGGCCAAGTTCCAAGAAGTACTTGTATTTGATAGAGTCTTCATGTGTCAGGTTATAGACAACCATTGTTTCTTCCAGGAATTCAAAGCACTCAGTGATAGGGCATTTGATTTCCACTTGGCCAAGCTGCACCTGTGTGAAAGAACAAATGGGAGAGAAAAAAAAAGGCACTGGTTATTACAGTTCTCTTCTTTTTTCATATGGTAATGCTTATTTCATAATTATAGCAAAAGATTATCTGTTATTTTTCATGATTCCGTAACATAATAAATGATAATCACTTTGGTACCTATGTCAGGTGATACCAAATAATTACTATATAATGTTTCCAAAATGACTGATAGGGTATTTAAGCATTCTCTATCATTAAATAAAATGATTATCAAATATGATAACTGGAATGGGCCTACATCACAGGCTCACCTGGGAAGCAAATTATCATTTAATGCTCTGCAACCTGCAGGATGAGACAGCATTCAGACAATGAACCAAATAAAAGAACAGCTTGGATGAAAAGGTGTTTCAGATTTTTCAACCTTACTACAAAGTTCCTGCCAGGCTCCTCTGTCCATAGGATTTCCCAGGCGAGAATCCTGGAGTGGGTTGCCATTTCCTTCTCCAGGGATATTGATTCCAGACCCAGGGATCAAACCCAGGTCTCCTGCATTGCAGGCAGATTCTTCATCATCTCAGCCACCAGGGAAGCTCAAATTTTTCTTACCATAGCCTTACTCAGCACTAGACTTAGGGCACATATAACTTTAAGAAGACCAAAAAAAAAAAAAAAAATAGGATTTTACTTATATATGCAACATCCAGTAGTCTGAAAATTATTGCTAAAAAGAAAAAACCCTTTCCCCTGACTTTCCCAGGTAAAGAACATATAACTGTTCCCATGTCATGAGAATTATACGAACAAGTAAGAAAATTAAACCAATCATAACACTGTAAAAAAATCACTCTGAGATCTGGCTGCTTCTGAAGTAATTTATAAAATGAACTCCTTCAAAGAACTACAGAGTTAGATTAGGAGACGGGAGAGGGAATGTACTAGAATGATACATTTACTATTTATTTGGTAGAGAACTCAAAAAATGGTTGGCATTAAAAATTACAGTATAAGATTCAAGTACAAAGTGTGGACACAATTAAGTTTCAAAGGATTAAAAAAAATAAACTACTTTTTAAGGATGACTTAGGCTTGTTTTCCATAAATAGTAACAAAAACCCTTTACATTCCTGGTATCATAGTATCTTTTTGCCCATCTTAGAGTAGTAAAGGGAGGCAGGGAAAGCCCTAAATGGAAAACAACCCCAAACCATTTCTTTCTCGCTTGGTGAACTTGACATTTTGAGAAGGTGAAACTCATTGACCTTAGTGAGAAAAGTCCACTATTAAGATGGAGAGAGGAATGCGAAAAAGTCACCTGATCTGGGGAAAGAAAACATCTATAAAGAGCCATTAACAAAGACCCTAAGCTCATAGTAACTTTGAACTTTGCTATTTATCTCGAGGAAAGGTAGGTAAGAAGCTACACTCTATAGGATGCCTGGCAATGACATATTTAATATCAGTAAAGAACATAAGCCAGATTGATAATGAAAAAAATCTAACTTTGGATAAGCCACCTTATTAGTACTGACCTGTTGAAATGTAAGTTTCCATATCATCTTATGCTACTATTGTACAAAGATGGTCCAGAGATGCTTTTCAAGTATTAGCCCAAAGCAATTTTTTCTACTTGTTTGATGAGTCTGCTTATGGTTACAATCAGATCTTATTACTATACTTGTTAGTTATTACAACCCAAATTATGTTTTATATTAAATTATTTTCAGTTATAGCTGAAGTCAGAGGCTGTGCAGATAAACTGGGATCCGAACAAGAGGGCAGAGTATGGAGCCACCTTAGGAGTCTGAAGTAGACACCTGTGAAAATTGAAAACTTTAGTTTTCTGCATGTGAAAAGACAATCTCTTGTCATTCCACACAGAAAAGTTCACTTGGTACATCTCCGGTGACTCCTGCTTACTGGGAAGCTGCATACTTGCGGGAGTAAGAGCTGGAATATTTTACTCCCAGGTCAATGTTTAACAACAGCCCCTTGCCGCTAAATTTACTTAAGCAAATAAACACTAACAATGGAAGCAGTAATTTCACAGCCACCCAGGTAGTCAGGTCTTAAAGAAATGGAATGTGGTACAGGACCAGACAATCCAAGCAGCTCAAGGGAATGGGTCATCTTGTTCCTCTGTCAGCAGCAGGCGTTCATATCATACTGGGACACCTACCGTCTGATGTCCAAACAAAGCCTTGTCTTCTTCATACTTCTCAAATATCTGCCTGCAAGTCTATTCCATTCCCAAAGAACAGGCTCCTTCTGCTTAGCACCCTCTGCATTTTGCCTACTTCATACCTTCTCTTCTCTCTGAAAGCCCCAAAATCTCTGCTACACTGAGTCAAATGATCTCATATTACACAGAAGCAATATGATAATGTCCCACTACCCTCCCACTACCAACTCTCCAATGCCTGTCCCCATCTTTTCTGTCTTCCCTCCTTTTTTTTTGTATTCTTCCCTTTTTATTAGCTTTTATGTTTTTCTTTCATTTTAATTTTTATTTTATATTGGCATATAGTTGATTTGGGCTTCCCAGGTGGCACAGTGGTAAAGAATCTGCCTGCTAATGCAGGAGATGCAAGAGATGCGGGTTTGATCCTGAGTTGGGAAGGTCCCCTGGAGTAGGAAATGGCAACCCACTCCAGTATTCCTGCCTGGAAAATTTCATGGAGAGAGGAGCCTGGTGGGTTACAGTCCATGGAGTCACAAAGAGACACAACTGAGCATGCATGCAAGAATAGTTGATTTACAGTGATTTACAGTGGAGTGTTAGTTTCAGGTGTGGAGCAAAATAATTTAGTTATACATATACATATATCTATTCTTTTCCAGATTATTTTCCCATGTAGGTTATTACAGAGAATTGAGTAGAGTTCCCTGTGCTATATAGTAGGTCCTTGTTGATTATTTATTTTATATATAGTAGTGTGTATATGTTAATCCCAACCTCCTATTTTTTTTGTCTTCCCTCCTTTTACAACACAGGGCCTGAATCTACTTCCAAATTGCATGAGTCTCTCAGAGTGTCTGTTAAGAATTCAAGTTTCCTGGCCCACTCGGGGCCTATAAAATTTGAATTATTGCTGGTAAGATAATAATTGGCAGTTTGGAACAATTATTGCTGGTAAGCTAATAACTGGCAGTTGGAACAATTACTCATACAAGCATTATTCATACTTCTTCATACTAACATCCCCTTTTTCATAATAAAACACTACTCATGACACAGGCATTCTCTGGCCTGTAATGTCTTTTTTTTTCAGAATTATTTCCTCAAAAGATCACTAAAAAATAATAATCATAAATGAGTAAAGGATGTTCATTTATTTATTCAACAAGGTACATAATTCAACAAAGATGCATTTTTTCAACATTTTAATATTTCAAAAGTCAAGACTATCTTACAATTGATAGTATTTAACACTGTGCCATAGTTTAATTAGTATCATTTTAATTTTCTTAGAGACACATAATACTGCATCCTACAATTGATGACAGCTTAGATATCAACTAAAAGTGGTTTCTACAGGTTTGGCTTGTTATCATGGATTCTGGGGAAATGAGAAGACAGAGAGAAAGAGACACAGGGTCTCTACTGGAGGAAACATGATAAACAAGTAAATGAATCAGGTAGACTGGAATCCGTCTGCCTATGAAGGAACTACACATCAAAGAAGATACCTCCGAAGAGGTGATGGCCAAGAACGAAAGGGCCGGTCATGCGGAGAACTTGCAGGAGGGACTGAATGGCTAAGAAAACAAGGCCCATGGCTCCAGGGCAGAAAGTGCCGCGGCGCCTGTGTGCAGGGAACAGAACTGAGCAACTGACACGTACCACGTGAGCCAGAGTCGCAGACCCTGCTGGCTGTGACAGGGAGCGTGGATCCTACTCTCAGTTACCATGAATCGCTGACTGGTTTTCTGAGGAGGAGGGGCATACCCTGACTTACACTTTACAAAGAAACCATCCTGGCTCTTCCCAGAGAATACACGGGCCCAGAGAGGGGGACAGTAGGTCTCTGGATGGTACCTGTTTCTTTCCCCCAGTGGCACTTGACTACCGCATTAATGCAGGCAGCGGACGACAGGTGGCTGAACTAGGTAGCAAGAGGTAGCCAGACATGACATGCATTTCGGAAACGGAACCAATGGGTTGTGGCGATGAACCAGATTTGGAGGATGGAGTAAAGGCAGGAGTCAAGAATTCCAGGTTTTTGGCTTGAAATAACCTGATGATTGGTGGGTGCTATTAATACTCCCTGAGAATTTCTAATAAAACATAGTTTACATGGATATGTGATACTTCCTGGAAATGACTCACTGCAAATTTAGTAAAGATCATTAATTCATCCACAAAACATATATTAAATTCCTATAATTCTACAGGTAAAGGATATAAGAGTCCAGGATACAAGGTAGCTTAAACCATGAATCCTGCCCTCACGGAACTTGAGAATACAGTAATTAAACTTGTGTTGATAGCCTCTTCTAGCAATTTGGAATTTAGTGGTATTAATTCATTTAATATTCTATCCCAACATTTAAAAAATATTAGGAACACATATACATATTCACAAGTCTTCAGATTGGTCTTATGAACCCTTCACCCTTAAGTACCCACGCTTCAGCTTGGTCAAGTTTATTTTTCCTCTGCCCTGACCTACTACAGTCCTCCCATATTATTTACTCCAAATACCAGACGTCATGTCATTTTACTCATAAATATTTCAGTATGAGTCTAAAGAAAATAAGAAATCTTTAAAAATATATAATCACTATACCAAGTATTTTTTAAAATGACAATAATTCTTTAATATCAACTTAGTTTCAGTCATGTCATCTAACTTCTATTTACAGGATTTTTTGTACTTAGTATAATTAAAACAAAGGCCTAAATTTCTGTTGTGTTCAATGCTAATACTACTATTTATATCACTGGAAAATATGCTCTCCAAATCTGAACAAAAGCATGTCCATTCTTGAAGACAAAATTATCTAATTCTACAACAGT